ACCCTCACAACATACTAAGCTTTTTCTTCCATACAGTTCCCTCATCAATAGAATAATAGCAGCAGCCACTGGGAAATCTAAGGCAGCATATTTTATAGCTGATTTCCTCCAGATTTGGCTGGTGGCTTTGGTTGTAGGGCTAGTTAGATATCTTTTGAACTTTCAGTCATTTAGTGATGGGACACTGATTTGCTTTGTACTCCTGGTTCATTATAATATTGTACTAACCACATTTATTACACACTGATTGTGAGCCAATCATCCAAGCAGGCATTGTCATGAATAAGGAACTATGTATATAATAAATAATATAATAATATGATTAGTGCCATACATCATAGGCATGCACAAAGGCCCTAATTTATTAAGTAATGTACCAAGGAATGTCTTAAAAGTGAGTACATAAGTACTGAGTGGTTCAAGATGGAGGGGAGATTTTTTCATTAGATCAAGTGAATTATCGATGGTTTCATTGCCATGGTGAATGTGGAATTGAAAGAGATCATAGTTACAGAATGTTAGAGGAAACAACATTAGTAAAACTGTAAAATTATACAGAGAAGAGAGAGAAAAAGAGAATCAGGGGAGAAGGAGGAGGAGGGGGAAGGAAGGGGGGAATGAGGAAAGGAAGAAGGAATGAAGACAGGCAGGCAAATGGGTGGGAGGGAGGGGGCAAAGGAAAGGAGAGGGGAGGAGAGGGGAGAAAGAGAGGAACAAATGCAATCATTCAGATAGAAGAGGATTGTTCTAAGTATCCTAGTGAGAAAGAGACTGATAACATAAAACTAGAAGAGAAATAAACTTGCCTAGTGGGTAAGAGTGCATCTAGATCACTGTGTCATGATGATAATTGGCTTTTTCAAAGTGTGATTCCCCAGACCAGTAGCATCAGCACTCTTGAGATCTCGTTAGAAATGCAAATTTTGGGGCACCCCACACCTACTTAATTTAGACCTCCAAGTGATTCTGATGCTGGCTCAAATTTGGGAACCACTGATTAATAGTGTAGAATGAATTTGAAAAGACTAGAGGTCCTATTTGGAAGGATACTAAGTCTCCTAAACTAACATAAATCCAAACTAAGCAAATAATTAATAAAATTCTTTAAGGATAATAAGAACTACAGATAGGTATAGAAATACAAATAAGGATGGATTTGTGAGGTTTTAAGGAAATTACTCTTTAGGGTTTATTTGACATCTAAGTGGATCATTCATAAAACTGACTGGATGAGGTTGATGAGCAAATTGTTGTCTAATTATATCACTGCAAGGATCTGAAAAAGGTTTTCGGGCATAATATTGAATATATTAAAAAAAAGCTTTTTAAAAAAATCTGTCTTCTGCCATTATACCATATTACCCATCCATAAAGTTGATGTAGATGGGGAATTATGTATAGGTAATATATTGCACATTTGGCAGTGTTTCCTTTGCATTTCTTTTAAAAATATGCATTCTTTATTTAAATACAGTGACATAGATGAGATCTTTCCTCACATTTTCATGCTGCTGTTCTGGGAAAGTAAATTATGCTGTGATAAAAAATAAGTAATTGCTTCTTGTGTTTAATTGATTTTTTTATAGAAATTACAATGCAGATTTGATTAAAGGAAGATAGTGCATTACCTACGGTTGGTTCACAAGACACATAATGGTATGAAAGAGTGCCACCCAGCACAGAAATTATACCATCATTTTGCCTGAATGTGTTGAGTGGGAGATATTTAGAATTCTTTATGACTTATAAACACTGCAGAATGTTTCTTTTCTCATCTAAAGCAGGATGATAGGGACATCTATTTCACAGCCATAACATGTCCTGACTGTTAAATCGTAGAAGCCTTTTGGGGAGAAATAACTAATGGTAGACTTTAAATAAGAAAGAGTATTGTGAATCTGATGCTGACAAATGATGTGTCTTGTAACAAGGTCACTCCTGAAGTTTGCTAGTTAGGCTGTTTGAGTCAGATGTATCAAAGAAACGTGAAAAATGCCTATAACCAGACCAAATAGAAAAAAAATAGATGTAGTTTCTGCTTTACTCCAGGATTTTACAACCTTGGCACTATTGACATTCTGGGCTGTTTAATTCTTTATTCTAAGGAAGGGCCCAGGGATGCCTGGGTGGCTCAGTGGTTGAACATCTGCCTTTGGCTCAGGGCGTGATCCTGGGGTCCAGGATCAGGAATCTAGTCGTGCATCAGGCTCCCCCGCGAGGAGCCTGATTCTCTCTCTGCTTATGTCTCTGCCTCTCTCTGTGTCTCTCATGAATAAATAAATTATTTTTAAAAAGCAAAGGATGGACCCATGCATTGTAGGATGTTTAGCAATACCCCTGTGTCTGTCTACCAGATACTTAGAAGTATTATCACAACGTCCTCTCACAAGTTGTGACAACCAAAAATGTCTGCGGATGTTGTTACATGTTTCCACGGTCTCAAGATTGCCCCTTAGATGAGAACTATTGCTTGATGTCATTGAAATAAAAGCTTAAACTGTAAAATGTTGCTAACTTAAACAAGCAAACAACAACAACAAAAACAGACCTATTGCACGTAAGTCATCTTGGATAATTCTGCTGCTCAGTCTCAGGGCCTTTTGGGGGATTTTCCAGATTCTTTTATGCACTCTTCTATCTTGTCCAGAAATCCAAGAATATAGGGTATTTTCCTCTCATACAATGAGTATCCTAATCCAGTAGGTCCTTTGAGTTTTGTTTATCTTCTGGTGTGAAGCAAGGTAAAGTCTCTTCAGCTGCCTCTTCTTTTATATCTTTGAAAGAACAAACTCTTTTGTACTTGGAAGATTTTATGCTAATTTCCACGGTAATAAAATCAGGGAATAAACAAGGGGGCATTATGAAGGTTTTCAGATATTTTTTTTTTTTTTTGAGGTTTTAGTGTAGTGGTTTCTGATGAGTGAATGTTCTACTACCTTTGGATCTCTGCTTTCATACGCAGGATTATCTCATACAACTCAGCTCTCTTTCTTACCATTAGTGAAGGCTAAGTGGAACCTTGAATCAAAGATGGCTCTTCTACCCCCCACTGAAAATGAAGATGTCAAAGCTGAGGAATAATAGTCTTGACTCAATGAACATTAATACTTCATTGATGACCACACAACTGAGACATAAACTTTCTGTCTTATGTAGACATGATTTCTTTCTCTGGACATTCCCATACCATTGACAATCATGAATTTTTACTTATACTGTTAACTATTATGGGCTTTCATTAAGCATTGATCTTAAGGAGTTTATTTTTGTTGGTTTTTCCACAATTATTTCATTATAAATAGATGTTAGACCTCTAAATACTTTGATGTTCTTCTTGATAACATTCATAACATTACATTTCCAAAATGTATTATTTACACTTAGTAGAGGGAAACATTTCTCATTAATTGAAGCCAATGTTTAATTTGTCTTCTTGGGATGCCTGCGTGGCTCAGTAGTTGAGCATCTGCCTTCAGCTCAGAGCGTGATCCCGGGGTCATGGGATCAAGTCCCACATCAGACTCCCTGTGGGGAGCCTGCTTCTCCCTTTGCCTATGTCTCTGCCTCTCTCTGTGAGCCTCTTATGAATAAATAAATGAAATCTTTTTTAAAAAAAAATTTGTCTTCCTACCCAAGGAGTGTTCAGCTCAATATCTGGTGGTTGGTAGACTCTCATTTAATATGAGATATATACAAGAAAGAGGGCCAACTTTAGAACTATGGTACCAAGACTCAAATGCCCATTTTCCTGCTTACAGTTCATGTGACTTTGGGTAAGTCACTTAACTTTGTTTACGTTTTATTTTTTTCTTATTTAAAACTGTTATTGTATCTATAATTAGAATTGTTGAGAAATTTTACTTTTGTAATTTATGTTCACTAAATGGAATTTTTTAAATAAAATATTATATTTTTATTTCATTTGATTCTGAACTAACCATTGACCCTTTTTGTGATACAAGTCTCTGCTTTCAGTATAATTGAAGTTTATACCTATTTTTCCATTAATAATATTTTGAGAAATTTATTTCTTATGCAAGACCTAACCTCTTTTTACATACTCAGCGATCACCAATGTCATCCCTTCCCATATTTATGTTAGAAAGTATGTAGTGTATCTATTTCATTAGCAAGGAACTGAAAGACAAAATCATCATGATATTATAATACCAGATGAGATAGTTAAAACCTATTTAGTCTTTTCTCCAGTTTTTTAATCTGCACTGTACTAGGCACTGTATTATGTAGAAGATAAAATGATGACCAAGATATATATGATCTCATGGGCTTGGAATCTTGTGGGAGAAGATAGAAAATTAAACAAAGATTAATGATATTTTTTATTATTTTTCTTCTATCACTCAATTAATGATCATGTTCAAGATTTATGTTCAACTTCTTTACTTTGTAATTACTTTTCATCCTTCCAAACTTCAGTTTTCTCACACATAATTCTAATTTTACATAAATCTCTAGAGAGATTATGTCTTGCCCAAAGTCACTCAGCTAATTAGTTGTAAAGACCCTAACATTCTTCCAAAGAACTATACTTCAAATGGGACTGGAATTTATACATTCTTTAATAAATTTTTCTGTTTCTTTAGTTTGTAATGCTCTCTTCACTCTCATTTAATTATGCATAATGCCCACCCACATTTCAGTTGTGACAGGATTGTGTTTTCAGAGCACATTTTAAACCTATGTGGAACAGAAACAACAACAGAAATGTTTGCTTCCAGAGGTTTCTTTGTGGTTCTGAAAGAGTAATGAGACCCTGACCCTTCTGTTTCAATTAATACAAGCAGATCTAAAGACACATGGAAATTGTTATTTGATATAAAGGGTATAATTCTAATTTTTAAGCAAATAGTATTTATGAACAAAGGTCTTAATTTTGGAATAACTTCTAAATTGCCACAGTCAGGGGATTATAATTGGGGTTGTACAGGTTGAATATGCTGCAGAGAATTTTTTTTCTTTTAAGAAAACCTTCTGAATAGATAAGGATTCAATTCATCACTGAGGTATTCTTCAGCAAAGAGCCTTCAATGGCCTCCAGTGTGCATTTGGCAAACTTAGGAATGCACACCGAGGACCAAACGGAAGGGAAAAGCCCCAAAGCGAGAGGAGAATCTGGGCGAGAAGATGAATCCATATGCATCCTTTGGAAGCCAGATGAGCAGATGGTGCTGTTGACATTCTGTTACGAGAGTTGAGAAGCCTAGCCATTACTCTCCCTGGGACGGAAGACCACATCTTTCCTGTGTGAAGGAGAGCTGTACAGGCAAAGCTAGGATTTTTCAAAGCAAAAAGTTTGGAATCTGCTGTAGTATTTAGACCGTTTCTATCCCACAAAGGAATTTCTCCAATTTCCAATTCCACTGTTAGTAAAGCATTTATATCCACATTTTGCTGTGAAGTGCAGAGTCTAGCTCTCCAAAGCTTTTCTTCTTTAGTGCATGCCTCGCTTTTGAGAGTTGCTTTTGTTTTTGTTTTATTTTGGTTGCATTTACTACTGAAAGAAGTAGCAACATAAGTTGAGTTTCAGTTACTGTTTTTCTATAGTATCTGTTGCATTTTTGTCATTTTTGGAAAAATTATTCCAAACAGGAAAGCTCAAAAATCAGGAACTAGTATGTATTTTACTCTATGAGTTTGTTCTGAAGGAACAGTGAAGTCATTTTTCTTAGTGGGCAGTATATTAACTCCTTGAGATAGCCTGTCTCTAATGTTTTTGGTTTTATTTTTTATTTAGGTAGAGGGGAATGAGTGGCCAGGAATTGAGGTGATTTGGGGGATCCAAATCCAAAGAGGAACTGCCCATTTCAAGGCAAACTTCAAGTAATATAAGAGATCATCATGTCTAGTGAATTATTAAAGCAGCTGCCACTTCTACATATCACTAAGTTTCTTTGGGTTGAGATTAGATTCCCAACAGAGGATGAACAGAGTCTGTAACAACTGAATGGGAGTGTTTCATAATTAGGAAGCCCTGGGACAAATAGGCCTGGTTTTTGTCTGAGAATGATGAGGGTTAAATAAAGTTAAAAGCAGTTAATCCAATTCTTTGGTGGTTGCTTTTTGGCCAACATGGTAGGAAAAACCAAAGGACCAGGTTTACCCTAGTATAGGAGGCCAGAATGTCTTTACCAGTAGTACAGAAACATGTAACGATAGGCTGAAAAAGGATTTATCCTGCCTTAATTCATAGAGCTATTCATTCACTTTAAGGAATATAATTTGGAAAAACCTAGGACTCAGTGTTTTTCTGTCCATTCATACTAGGAGCAGGGGAAATGTAATATTCTAAAATGATCCTTCTTCATCTCACCATGTATAGTAAAGTCCAAGTTTGATTACTTATTCTGTAAATTAGTATCTCAGGTGAATGATGATTTTCTTCAGTACTTTCCCTATGTACCACTTCTTTTAGAAAATAATTACTTCTTTTTACTTAATTTGGTTGGCTGTGACTTCGACTTTGAACTATCTGCTGTCCATATTTTTTTTTTAAGATTTTTATTTATTTATTCATGAGAGACACAGAGAGAGGCAAAGGCAGAGACACAGGCAAAGGGAGAAGCAGACTCTATGCAGGGAGCCCGACGTGGGATTTCCCGGAACTCTAGGATCACGCCCTGGGCCAAAGGCAGGTGCTAAACCACTGAGCCACCCAGGGATCCCCTGCTGTCCATAGTTTAGCTTTATCTTCTTCCCATATTCCTTTAAAATCAATGTGTTTATTTGTATGCAAAGCTTCCATTCATTAACATTGCCGCCCACTGTCTCTGAGAGGCACTGCTGTTATTTTCAGTTTTATTTCAACTTTGGGATTATTTATTTTAGATCATTTCTTTCCTTCTGTAGCATGAAGCAATATTTTAATTTCATTGTCAAAAGATGAAAGACGTAGGAGTTAGTTACAGTTGTGATTGCCCTGTAGCTGAGATTGAATGGAGCTGGAATCTATTTAAACTTGCATTGTGCTTGCAAGATGAAACTTCAATGAATCTTTGTTAAACCCTATCATTTCATGGTTGCATTTAATAGAAGCCTTTTTAGATGTCACAGCCATGTTGTATTTGGCTTTTCTTGCCTGTATGTAGAGGACATGGGAGCCAGAAATTAGGTTTTAGATCCATGCAGTTAGGTATAGAAAGATGTGGCTATCTGTGTTTATATAGGAAAATATGAAAATGTACAAAAGATGTAAATTATGATTTAAAACTTCAGCCTTTCTGGAATGTATGAAATTTAAAAAAAAATAACCTGCAGACCTTACAGAAGCTATCCCTTTGCCTGTAATGTTCTTTTTCTCTTCTATCCCATTCCCCACTTTTGAATTCATACTTATCCATTCCCTCAACCTTTCTATCTCCCTATTTCCATCAAAGAGTTATTTTTTATGTAATGCCTTTGTTGACAAAGTTTCTATGACCGCTCAAGCCTTTAATTACCTTAATTCTTGTTCTTATATGGTAATTGCTGAATCTACTTGTCTGTTTTATCCTCATATAGTGACTTTTTAAAATCTTTATTAGTTTATTCGTTTAATTTAGAGAGAGAGAGTGTGTGCAAGTGGAATGGAGGAGAAAAGGAAGGAGAGAGAGAATCTGAAACAACCTCTGCACCAGCCCATTGCCTGATGCAGGGCTTGATCTTGTGACCTGCACTGAAACCAAGAGTCAGACACTTAACTGACTGAGCCACCCAGGAAACTCTATCCTTGTATATTATATACTCCTTATAGATAGGATGCATATTAGCCACACAATAGATAACTACCATGCATACCATCACTGTTAGGTTGAAATTTCTATCTTATTCTCAGAATTTGATTTGAGGAGCCATTGTCAAAGGTGTGTGCCCTCGTCCTTGTGTGCTTGTGCTCCTCTCTCTCTCTCTACCTCCATCCCATACACATACACACTCATACACACTTCATCAGTAGTAGATATCTTGGAAACGAGAGCCTGTGATATCATATAAGTTACCCAAAACCGATGACCTTGTCCTTATACACTAGCATCAGGCTCATATAAACATGTTTAGTGTGGAATTGTTACATGACATTGATGCACTCTAAATGGAAAGCTCTTAGCAAATAGTGTGTAAAGAGTGGGGAAGGCAGTGATGCAGATAAGATAAAATACCTGAATGAAAAAGCAGCATTTACTTCCTCATATTTTGGAGCACAAAATATTTTGGGATCCTTATCTGTACAAACTCACCTTAGATTAGTATACAGAAATATTCAAGGCACTTTCATCTGCATTGTGTCACTTAATCCTGTGACATCCCTGAGAAGTGGTGAGATCTCCATTCTTAGATGACAGAACTGAAAATCATGGATTCAAAATGCTTTAGGGCAGATCACCAGTGCCAAAGGCACTCCTCATCCTCCACTTCACAAATGCCCTTACTCAGGGAAAATCATTAAATCATGGTGTGGTCAGGGAGAAAAATGATTTTACTTTAAATTACATGGTACATTATAATGGAGGTGTTTTGTTTTCTTACTTTGTGTTTTCCTAAAGAAGTGTGCCAGAGATGCACTGGAGAGAGACTTTGGATACACTAAGAGATACTTCAGAGTTATTGGAATATCTGGTCAAAATGATTGAAACTCTCCAAAGATGGAGACAGCAGCATTTCTTTCAACGTCTCTTCTCAGTTTTATTAAGATAACTCCCCCTCTTCTTATTTTCCACAGATGTTTTCCCAACGGTGAGAGTAATAATGTTAAAATAGCAACACTACCTACAGCTGTAAACGCATTCATCTTTGCACATCACGCTTGCTGCACTGGTAGCAAAGGCCATTCTGTCACCTTTAATTAAAAGCACACAAACAAAAACAAATGAAGACATTTCCATCTCTTCTATGATTTTAGCCTGGTGTCCTATTTCACTGTTCTGCTTTTAAACAGATTGACTTGCCTAATATGAGGGAAGGTTGGTTTACCATTTGTAATTCTTACATAGACATTAATCAGTATAATTAAAATATGATAGCATCTGGATGTTAAAAGCACAGGTGGAGTGTGTTAATATGAAAAACAAAAGGAGGGAATCTGCCTCAGAAACTCTGTATGTCTCTCTCTATCTCATACAGATGCACACACACACACACACACACACACAGATATGCCTCAGATCAGAATTTAAACTATTTTTAAGCAGGCAGAAGAATAATCTACTTGCCAATTCCTCTACAAGGACTGTCTAAATCCTATAATCTTACTTGTCTTCAGCTTGATAGGGCTATAATGGCACAGAGGTAAAGGAAAGATCATTATTCTTCATTTGTTCCATTTATGAAATTCTGTCCGAAAACCCAGGCACCATGTTGGCAGGTGCTGAAAAAAAGTGCACTAAGAGCTTTCCTTCATTTCTTTTCTCAAAATCGGTAGGTATTGAGAATGTGGATGAAGCCTTTTATAGCCTGGCATTTAAACTGAGCCAATTTGTTATAGAGGTGAATAAAAACAGATTTTGTAGTGTCATTTTTAAAGAGTCCCTCTTCATTTAGAGCCAGCCTCATGCCACACGTTTTGTGTTACATAGATGGCTCTCATTATGTGCATGTTTTTTCAATATTATAAACCAGGTTGCTAAAATAAAAAGTTTATATTTTTTACAAAATCTTTGGATTACTAACATCACTTCCCCAGATTTCTTGAGTCAGTCTGTAGTCATTGTTTCCTCTCTGCTCATCCTAACATGAATTCTCCTTCCCACTTTTTTATTCGGCAGTTTCAGAGTGCAAGTGAAAAGGCCTGCTCCAGTTGACTCCAGAGAAAGGCAGGGCCATAGCTCTTACACCACACTGGGAATCAAGTCGTACAAGAAACAGCCTTGGCTGTGACACAGCCTCCAGGAATGAAAATAGAGACCAGGATACAATAGTAGTTGGACAACTGTGTGGCTGATCCATCACCACTCCAGAATACTGTCTCCTCAGAAACGAATCTCTATGGCCCTTTGTGCTAGAACTCCCTTGTACAAGATACTCATGAGTGTACTCTATTTCAGTGCTGTGAAGCTAACAACTGAAAGCTTCCTCTATTCTGTGAACTTTTCTACCTCAGAGTTTCTGCTAGTTTGGGACTTTGTTTACCTTACTACTTTTACTTTTTCTTACAAAACACTCTGCGTTAGTCGGCTGTGGTCACCATAACAAAATACCACAGGGTTGTAGGTGCCTTAAACAAAAT